TCTTCTTATACATATTTTCGCATGGACCAATCATTGGCGTCAACCCCCTACTGAGTATACAATAGAGAGAGAAAGAAAAGATTGAAAACGAAAAAGAAAAATATGGTCAACCATCCCATCATTTTGTGACTAAAGACAAATTGTGCATTCTCACAAACAGAGATATATACACAAAATAGAAATGTTTCCAAATCATTATTCACCATCAAGTCCTTATATTGATTTTTCATCATATAATACAACTCCATCATCATCATCAAATATAACTAGTATTGGTAATCCTTCACCACCACCTCTTTATCATCAACATCAACATATGTTCTCAGCAACACATTTTTCAAATGATAAACTTCAACATTCACCAACAGGTTATCCAGCATTTGCTATGCATGGTTTAAATATGAATGTTAATGTTACAATGAGTCCTGTTTATGTACCAACTAATAATTTATCAATTTCTCAATCATCACCAACAGTTCCATTAAAACCTTTTTATCCTTCTGATGAAAATGGTACGAATTCATTAGAAGGTAAGTAATCACGATTATTTCCAACTGTGTGTGTCAATGAATATGATCGTTTGTCGTGAGAGGTGTTAAAATATTATTCATATGAATACTGATAACAGAAGAAAAAATACGATTAATATATAAAAAGATAAGTCGAATATTTTCTATAAAATCTTATTAGTTAAGAATTCTAGTTTTCTATCAATTAACGAAATAACAAATCAATGTTATCGATAGAAATGTATGACGATAATACATTTCAATATATTATTTAATTATTGATTAAAAAGAAAATATTTTTCATCGAAAAAAAAAAAAAAACTTCAAAAAACAAATTTTAATCTATTCATTGATCTTTTATCTATCGACGTTTTTTTTCTTTTTCGTTTTAAAGATCGATTGATAATGATCGATCATATAAACCGAGTTAATTTATCACATTCGATCTAAATGCCAATAGCGAAAATTAAATTCTTTGGTCATACTTATCTTATTTTTATTTATTTTAATAGAAAAATCAGTCAATTCATTAATATTAAATGGTAGTGAAATTCTTCCAGGAGCAACAGCACCACCACCAACACTTTCATTACCTAAAATAACAGCGAAAGGAAAGAAGATTCGTAAACCACGTACAATCTATAATCCACTTCAATTACAAGCATTAAATAAACGTTTTCATCGTACACAATATTTAGCATTGCCTGAACGAGCTGAATTAGCAGCTATGCTTGCTCTAACACAAACTCAGGTGAGTTTTATGTATGTTAATTTGACACATTGAAGGTCACATGTATAGCCTAAAGCATGACATATTTTATTGTCTTCTTTTTTGTCTCTATGTATAAAAAAAATGATGAATGGAAGATCATCATTCATGATGTCCATCTTTGAGCAAAATGTCTATGTCTTTTATATGAGTTAGGATAAGGAAAAAAAAAAAAGTAACAGAATGTCATTGATTTTTATGAGTGATTTGCGCAATTATATGAGTTGATAGTTTTGTTGCAGAAAATGAGTCACGAGAAAAAAAAAAGAAGAAGAAGAAGAAGAAGGCGGGATGCATTATCGGCTAGCTCAAATTGTATGTATATATAAATTCAAAGACGCATCAGCGGGGAGCTCAGTATTGCGTGAACAATCGAAAGACGAGGGCAAATGGTCGGCATGTTTGAAGAAAAGCGAGGAAAAAAAAAGTTCTTATCTGAAATGACAACGCCCATTGTGGATACTACGAAATAAGATTGTATTCATTCATGTGTAGACTATTTTTGAAGTCAAATCATTTTGACATTATATCTAAAATAGTTTCTTTTGACTTGTTCTTTTTTTTTCCTATATATTCAAATGAAATAAACTTAAGTTTCCGTCTTGTATTTTTTTTTTTCGTTTTTACAAAAGAGAATACCTGACTGATTGCTATATGTTTCACAGTAGGGAAGAAAAAAAAAGTAAAAATGGGCGTTTCTTCTTAAACACAAAGACATTTTCTCTTTATATACAAATCACGCATGCATTGATGCTTTGTTCCCTTTTTTTTCTCGCTTTATGCTCACAAGACAACCTGTTATTAGAAATACACATTGTGAAAGAATATAGACAGGTAAAAAGATGTATATTGATGTGATGGTCAGTATAAACCCTGCGGGTATATTCGTTGTAAGATCTATGTGTGACATCTCTCCTCCCTTTGCCTCCCATACATACATATACATAGTACATTGATGGGACAAGGACAATACATGATGACCGATACGCCCTTCACGCACAAAATATAGTCGATAGAGATACACATATGAAAAACTATCTATAAGGAAAAGTAATGCTTGACTAAATCGATGCGTGATGATAGATAAAAGTTACGGTCATTTTTTTTTATTTGTTGATAATGATTAAGATGATTAACTGAAATGTTTTTTTTGTTTTTTTGAAGGTCAAAATATGGTTTCAAGTGAGTAAAAATATTTCTATGATTATCTATATACAATTAGAATTTTTTTTTGTTCATTTCTTAGAATAAACGTTCAAAAGAAAAAAAAGCTAATAGACAAAGTAATCGTACTCGTCCATCAAATGATAATGATATGAGTTGTAATGGTGAAGAAATCTATTCTGATGATGAGACAAGTTCAACATCAACTAATAATAATGATTCATCTTTACATGCTACACAATCATTAGCACCTGCATGTGAAAGTAAAGATGTTGATGTGACTACAACAAATCAAACAATAACCAAATCATCACCTAATATCTATGAACAGTCTTCACCACCTTCTCTAACATCTTCTGCACTGATATCAACAACAACAACAACACCATCATCTTATTCTACAAATGATTTTCTTCGTTCAAATTCAATGTATTTTGATTATGGATCAATGAATGGTTTTTGGCCACCACCTTTATATGATACAAATCATAATACTAATGGATATTATCAACAACATCCACCAACAATTCATACTTAATAAAACTTGATTATTAAAGTGTTGTATTATCCGACTTGTATATCGATTTACTTTTGCTTTGAAAATAAAACTTGTATTGAATGCTTAAGAACAAAAATATTTTTCTTAATCAATTTTATGAATATTCATAATATGTTTTTGAATTTCCTTGAATTATGATCATTCATTTTATCATCATAATTCATATAAGGTTCTCAATTTTCATAATCAGGAAGAATAGGTTTAATTGTTGGACGATCATTAGATGAATAAGCATCATTTCGATAATGCATTTTTTGATCATTTGAATAAAACATAGATGTTTATCATCGAAAAATCAATAGTTCTTGATTATTTACCATAATCATAAGTTTCATTAAATGTGTTAACTTGATTTTGAGTAAATGTGTCGAAATTATGTGTTTGATCTGTAAAAAAAAAATTATATTTAAGCATAGGTTTCATTAAACAATTTTTGTCTTATCGGTTTGAATATTTTTGCGTTAAACACGTACATATGTATCACAATCAGGACGAGTCTGTTCATGAGCAAAACCTAGTCCATGTAACAATTTATGTGATGCTACCGAATGATGAACACAACTACGTAGGAATTTGAATTGAAAGATCTTGACTATCACTATTCACAATTTTACCCATATGTGACCAACATCTATATTTATTTATTTTGTCATTATCTTCTAAATAAAAAAAGTACATTCATTTTTTCTTATTCTTGATCAGAATGAACTGTTAATTAGACTGGATTATTATTTCATCAGACAAATCCTAGACAATCATTTGTAAATACTGCATCAAATTCAACAGGTGCGATACCATTGGGCTATTTTGAAGTTTGAATGTATGCAGTTCAATCATTGCTTACTAATATTGCAATATCGCCTTATATCAATTCGGTATCAGTTCGATTATTCGCAAAAAATAAAGTTGAAAACAATTTAACAATAACGAAATATTATTAATAAAATAATCTTCTGGTTCTGAAAAAAAAGACAATGTGTATATCTATATACGTAATAGTGTATTATTTTTGACAAAAGTAGCATAAGAATAAAATCATATTCTAAAAAATTTTATAATCTATATCTTTCTATCTATCAGAATTTAAAAATTCAAATTTAATTCTTTCTTCCATTTTTTTTTCAAGATTTATACGTATATACTTCGTAATAATACAAAAGAATTAAGAGAAGTTAGATTTTCATCAATAAAACAACATATATGTAACTAACTGTTCTGTAGTACAACATTTTTTTTTCACCGATGTTCGTTTTTCTGGTAGGGTGTTCTTTGGGAGTTGAGTTTGATGAAATATATTGCTAGTCAAAAAAAAAAGATAAGATGAAGAGTAAGTATCTCAGAATATTTTCATTCGAAAATCGACGAATTATATAAATATAGAAATACAGCATATGTGAAAGCAGTAACATTGAATATTCTTTTGCAATGAATATCAGACTTGTGTGGAAGATCTTTTATTCATATCGTAAAAAAAAAGATTCCCAGAACTTTAACGTATACCTGCTTGCAATCAAATACATCGTCCTCAATGAATTACATTATTATATCTTTCCATTGTAAATAAAAAAAAGAAAAAAGAAAAAGAAAAGTTTTTTCTTTTCGTTGAAAAAAAAACAGAAGAAAAACTATTTATTTATTTACTTTTCAAAATAACCTTAACATGAAAGAATTATAGAAGTTTTCGTGTTTTGCTCTTCGTAGACCTGTACCACCAGAATAGAATTAGAGAAGTAAGCAGATGAAAAAATTTCATAATGTTGATTAGACTAGAAATATTTATTTCGTATGATGAAGAAGAAAGTATAACAGCTACTACATACATAAATCAATATATCAACTTTATCTTTTAACGGACTATAAATACAAAATATTTCTCTGCAAAATTATTTTTAATAAATCTAGTAGTTTTAAAGCAATTTATTATTTATATTTTTGTAAATAAAGTGACAAAGATTTCTTGCTCATAATTGTGCGTCATCGAAATGAATTATTCAAAGTTTTATTTCCAAGCAGCAAAAAGTCCAGTTTCAATATATGGATCGAAGAAAAGAGATGCAGTAGATAACATAATTCCTACTGTCCATATACATCCCAATAATTTTTCTTTGAAAGTATTTGGCTTTGTTGGCCACTTCATAGTTATTTCTAATAAAACTAAAAGACCATGTAATAAAAAAAAAATCATATTTTTACCAGACCATTTACCAGCGACAAACCAGTACGTATATTCATGCAGCAAACCTGATATTACAAAAGCTAGAAGACCTTTTGCTTTGTTGTTCATAGAGATTATTGGATCGATCCATTTTGGAATAACAACAAAAGACATAAGTTGCAGCGAATTTTTTATAAGACGATTCCAACGATGTGACCAAAAGTCTCGAAGACTGGTAGAAACGAAAGGCAACGCAGCATACACAGGATTCATTTGAAGATTAAAAAGGATAGTATAAATACCGAAAGCGATACTGACATTACCGTCAAGTGATAGATATAGAAGAATACTTAATAATCCATAACGAAGAAAGCGGAATATTAGAAACAATGATGATGAAGAAAGCGAAAGCCATTCAAGAGGTATTAAGTGAAGAGATATTCGAAAAATAATAAATTTACAAATACCTTGTAAAATTAACAAAATACCTTCTCGACGTACATCTTGTTTCGATAATTCTGATAATTTCGCTTCAGATTCTGGCATTCGTGGCAAGGCAAGTACATAGAAAACCACCAATTTCAATGGCATTCGTTGAATATATGTCCATTTATAAGCAAATGCTAATTCGAGAAATTTGAAAGTTGTCAAAATGCTCAATCCACTAAACGAAAAAGCTAATAGAGGGTGAAGACTAAACCATGACGATTTTAATTTCAACGAGACATATATAAATATTATACTGATAGCACAAACAATTGAATTAAATTGAAAAAGACGTAGAGAATTAAAATATTTACTAATATTAAGACTCATAATATATATAATAAATATACAAATAAAGGTTATATAAAGAATGGTTAAAGTATTCTCGGCCATAAGAACGACGTAACCGAAACAACAATAGAAGAAAATTTTAGTGTATTTGTCGTTTTACTGATAAGTGCTTGAAACGATGTAAAATTAAAGCAATATATAATTGTGCGCAACAGAAAAGATAAAGAAAACACGTGCATTAAGATGATGATTCTTTTTCGTATATCGAAGAATAAAGAAAATATTTGTTTATTAAATATTATCATTGATTGAAATAAATCTATCTATGTCGAAGTCTTATCGTATTAATAAAGAAAGACTTATTTTTCAATTGAAAGATTCATAATCATTAGGTTTTCTTCGTTGTAAAATTGATACAAAATCAAAATGTTAAATTACTCAATACATAAATGCTTCGAACATGAAAAACTTGGTTATAGTATTATTAATATTTCAAAAATAAAAGAAAGAATCTCAAATAGAATACTAGACAATGCAATATTATACATGATCGAATTCTGAAGTTTCCAAGGTTATAACTAATTCTGCAGATTTCTTGTCCAACAATATATGTATGTTTTTCAAGGACAAGTAATCTTGTCGTTCATATTCACAATAAAAAAAAAAACATCACATTATTCATATTTCTTTTATAATATTCTACTATGCACCAAGTAATTATCAACAAATCTTACATAAAACAAAAAATTAGACAACTACAAAAACAACATAGATAAATCGATATTTTGTTGTTGTTATCCAATAGTAGACACTATATCATTAGTATATTTTATATTGTTTCTGAACGTTCTTGAGTGTTCATTTCTGTTATTCTCTCATTTTCTTTTACTGAATACCATTTATGAATTGGAAGTGCTTGTAATCGACGCATCATGTGCCAAGTAAATGATAACCAAAGAATGCCGATTACAGTACAACCAGCTACTTCAATTGAGTAGGCATGTTTTTTCGGTAGCCAACTTGCTACTAAAAGGACGACACTAGACGATACAGTTTGACCAATATTACCAAGAGTGCTTACTAATGTCATATATGTTCCACCAATACGTAGTTCACTAATTTGAGCATAGAAACCAACTCGAGCAACAAGTTGTAAATAGATAATTGTTTCGTTTATCACAAACAAAACCATCAAAATTGGATAGAATACATAAGGAAATTTAACAAGTTGTGAAGTAAAATAAATATAAATACCAATTAATACACAAATTAATAATCGAGGTAAATATAATCGAGCAAACCAAATTAAAGGTCGATGAGTTTGTGAAAGTATGAGTGGTACAATAACTTTAACTAAAACCAATGGCATTGTAATAAGACCAAGAGTTTCACGTGACATACCATTACTAGAATACAAAATATATAATACATAACGTTTAATAACTAAGAAAATGTTTTACATTATTCTATTCATTAGCAATATCATATACTTGAAAATTTTTTCGATGTGATATTCTTAGCAAAAATTTTCTTACCTAACCAAAGCAATATTAGTCATATAATAAGTTGCTGCATAACCAAAAGGAGAAATAATAAGAATAAATGTTAATTCTAACATACATTTCTTCTTGAATAATTTGATAATAGATAAATATGTTGCAATAAGTTTCAATCGTTTTATGTCATCATTTTGTTTTGATGTTCGTTCACGAAATAGAAAAGCTATAATACAAGTAACAATAAGAAAACATACGCCCCAGAAACGTACAAATTCAGCTAGTGTAAAAAGTCCAGTATTCTGTATTTTAAATGATAACGGTGTACGAATATAACGATTGGTAAAATTAGCTGATTCGAACGTAAGAAGAAATGATGATCCAAGAAAACGTCCAAGAGTTTGTCCAATTGTTTGTGAAGTTGATTGCCAAACAACGTTTGATGTTGCAAAAAGTGTAAGAGCCCAGCCATCTACACATACATCTTGGCTAGCAGTAAGAAATACAATGAAGAATAAGATGATTGTTAGTGAGACAATAGATAGATTATTAATAAATGAATCAATATAGAATGATAGAATAATTAGAACAATACCAAGTACTATTTGTATGGGTAATAACCATGTTTGACGTCTTCCAAAACGTCGAATATAAAAAACATCGAGTACAGGTGCCCAGATCAATTTTAAACTAAATGGATAATAAACACAATTGTAGACACTTTGTTGTCTCCATGTAGCACCTGCAGATGTAAGATAAATTGGAATTGAAGTAGATATACCAAGAACAACACCTTGTAAAATATAAAGAACAAGTGTCACAAAAATGCTCGCAATTGGAGCAGTGATAAACATCTAGAAACGAAAAAAAAAACAACAACTAAACTTGAACGTTTCAAAAGAACAATAACATGTATCATTTTCTAAATTGTATAACAAAAACAAAAATTCTCAAGAAAAACTTTTAAGAGAATTTGACAAATCAAGCATAAATATTTTTTTCTATATTTATCTATTGTTTAACTATCTTATTTATATAACTCTATCCAATGTAATTCGTTAAATTACTTATTGACATGACAAATTTTTAGTAATAAATTGACTGGAACGAATTAAACACGACAAAATAGTCTAATCAATTAAAACATTTAGCATAAAATATTTAGACTTGAAAGTTAGACTATAGATATTCTCTTCTGTTTTCTTTTCGTTAAATTTCATTGAAAAAAATTACCTATAGAATGAATTATGTCGAGCAAATGATGCGAATGTTATACATGAGTAAGATAAATACGATAGAAAAAAGGTGTCGGCATTTGTTCGATAAAAAGAAATGCCAACGAAAAATATGAAAGTATTTTGTTGCATATTCTTTTTCAGTCTGTAACATTCAGAATGAAATACATATACTGATCTAACTTCATCATTTTGATATTTAATGTCGAATATAATAGAATGTAAAGAGAAAAATGTAATTCAAAGTAGTTATTTATATTTTACTACATATAATTTTTTCAGTTTTATGTTAATGAATAAAATTGAAAACAATTATCCTATCTTTTTTTTTTTATATACAGACAATATTCCATTAATATTCATTAAAAAAAAAAAAAGAAGTCAGTTCATGTCAGCATGTTGATCTTTCCTCGTCGAACTAAAAGTACTAATCTTTTTAATTCATACATATATCAAAGATAAGAAATGGCATTCTAAAATTAGGTTTACACTTTGTTGATTATAACAATCATTCTCCATACAAGCAATAGATTTGCAAGTCTGTGAGTAGTGTTGATTAAATTTTGAACCACATTATTAGTCCAATTATTATGTGATAAAATACTCCAAATGTAAATGTTAATCACTATTGATTTAACACTTACTTAAACTTTGAATATGTAGAATCAATTTGTGTCGAGATCAAAACAAAATTATCATATTATAGAGATTGTCAAGGACAAAAATGTAATAAATAATTAATCTTAGAATTTTTATGAGAAGTTTTATTGAGTAAATGCTATTATAAATATGATCTTAGATCTTTTTTTGATAAACTTAAAGAACAATGTATTTTGTTTTTTCTAACTTCTATAGAACTTTTCGAAAATAGTTTTTGCTAAAAGACTTTCAACTATTTCAACATGATTAAAAATGAATTTTAAAAGATTTATGCAACTTTCATATTTAGATTGATTGATTAATTTTAGACTTGTTAGGGAAATTTCAGTAGAATTAAATTTTATATTTTGATACTCATTCATTCTAGCTATTCGATCTCAATAGACATTTAAACGTAATTCAACTAGGTGAAAATTAACATTCCTTTAACTCTTTAACTGTTAATTTGTTATTTGCAACTAAATAGTAAACTTTTAAAACATTTAAGAATATCACAAAAATTTTTCTTGATAAATATATTTAATAATTTCATATGCACTACATAATAGTAATATTACAATAATATATTGAAAACAATTCAATATGATAATAATGAGTTCATAAATGAAAGTCTTGTCGAATAATTTAGAAGAATCTTTGTATCTAGAATTTTTCAAAAGAGCATCATTATTTTTTTTTTAAGTATGAATAATTTATTGAAAACTTAAGTTCAGGAAGAAAAGCTATATCGAACATAAAAATGTTATTTATTAACAAAGAGAACGATAATCGATATGAAATGTTAGGTAGGATCAATTCAAAGCGCTATGAACACATCTATAATAGATTTGAGATTTGATTTATATTTGGAACTTAAGTTTGAATTTGCTTTTAGATCAAATCTACATAAATAGTTTGCAACTTAGTGATCGTTGTCGAAAAGCAAACAATTAATGTTATTTTTGTTTAATATGAAATTCAAATCTAAATAGTGAGGATATGGTTCCAAACTTCAAAGTCTTTTTCTAGTTATGCGATAGCTCTAGTAATGTAGATCATTGGTAATATCACCTTATCTTATTAAATCCTTTGTAATTTGGGTCATTTAAGGCCAAATCCAAAGCAAATAGTACAAAATCCCAAAATTTTGAGTTTTTTATACTTGTAAACACAGTAGATTTAAGGGATTGTAGCCTCTATTTCTCTATGAACATTGCTTTGATGTGATATTACGTCAATAACAGTTAAGGAGTTACATTAAAAAATAAAATATTCTACTGACTAGTAGATTCGATACACTGAAAGGACAATCCAATCAGTTCTCCGCGTGTAATTTATACATAGTAACAATAATGATTGAACACGTTCAGATTTGTATCAATGAACACAAAAATTTCGATTGGTCATATAGAGTATAATTTCAAAGAGTAAACTAAAAAAATAAACAATCATAATGCTAGCAATGATATTCAGAGCATTCATAAGAATTAGATGGATCGAAAACTGAAGTATTGAATAGATATTTTAAAAATAAATGTATCTATGGTAATATGTTTTTAGAAACGAAACAAATGAATCGAAATAAGATTATCAAGTTCAATTCAACAGATTTCGCTAGAATACGAATTTCATGCCTTGTTGCTAAGCCTCTCCTCATAATAAAAGATTCGAGAATTTTCTAATATGAATTTCTGTGCGTAATGAGTCCTAAATATAATTTATTTCCTCTCTAGAAATATAAATTTTTACTATCTATACTTTCATTTTATGAGTCGGAAATCCAGAATAAACATTTTGCAAGAATATTTCCTAAAGAAAAAAATTTTAAAAATTTTGAATGAAGAATTCATTACAAGGTCTAGGTCTTCTAAGATAAGAGGAAAAGGTTCATTGATCTTATCATGTAGACTACACCTTTATTTTTCTATGTTGATATGACGTAAGTGTTTTAAAAGCTAAGTGTTTATTGCATTTCTCTGTTTTTCAATCCTTCAGTAAAGTGAGTAAATATTGGGTATGACCAAAACAAAGCTCACATACACAACAAGCTCGATTACATTTCTCTTGTGTAATGACCATGTTAGAAAAAACTTATCAGATTACGATATCTCATGACTCATATATTTATTTAATGTATGATGATTCTTTATCTTGGTAATTTATATACTGTAAGAAAAAGTAGATATTTCGACTATACGTAAGATAACAATGAAGTGTCAAATATGCAACAATAATACTTGGTCAATAGATTCCAATGTCACATTATGCAATACTTGTAAACAACTCAATCGTTCTGATTTATTTTCTAAAATACTAACTACTTTACTAGACATTTATTCTGCTAATAGAGAATTCGATGCAGTAAAAGACAAATGCATACAGTTTAATACAATCATTAAAAATTACCCATTATTCATTACACCTGTTTGTACGTTTGATGTTGATGAACATGATACAGATCGTATTGCTCTTCATTATCTTCGAAATTATGTAATATCTGAAGATAATAATATTCTTCAAAAACATCATCCTGTTAAAATTGATACATCAAATAATAATTCTCTATACAAAACTATTGCTATTCTCTGTCGATTGGATATTGAAGATGGTGCCAAAGAATTAAGAGTAAGAAATGTAATCGATATGATACTCAATGCAGAAGTATATCATTCAGTTGATCCTGACTTACATTCTTGTTTGCAATGGGGTGAAACATGGAAATATTTTGTAATAGAACAACTTCGTGAAAAGCAATGGGTTAGTTACTTTTTTTTTCTTTTTTGAATTGTATAATTACTATCTCTTATATTTTTTCTTAGATGAATGGATTAAATGCTGTTTTAACAGTTTGTCTACAGAGTCTATCTAATATAATTAATATGAGAATTCGATCAGTATATCCAAAAATATCTGGTGGCAATGATGATCTTCGAAAACGACTTGATCGAATATTTTCTCCATTAGATGTTGAATCAAATACAGCAACTATATCAACAATAACTATACTATGGTCAAATATGAAACATATATCATCACATTCAACAAGTGCAATGTGGATGCCAGATTGTGTAGTACCACTTTTACCAAAACCAGACGTATGTAAATAAGTGATTTTCTTTTAGGCAAAATTATATTCATAGTTTTTATGTAGTGTTATACAAACAATACGGTAATTTCACCAAGAGCAAATTCAGCTGCTTTACAAAACCCTGCAGGTATGATTAATTTTGATCATAATAAATGTTCTTTTTTTTTTTTTTGCAATTTATATTTCTTATTTTAGAACGAAGTTTTTATATTCTTTCTTGTTTCTGTCGTATAACTCAAAGTGCATTGAATGAAATTGTAACATATTCCGATCAACAGAAACATGCAGAAGCTGAAATGAAAAAAGAAGATACAAAAATATCTGAATTTCATTGTCCAAAATGTTCAAAAATATGTAATAATTATCAATTTGATTGGGCAGCAGTAACTTTATTTCGTCAAAATTTTACTGGTACACGTTTAACTTATATTCTTGTTGATATAACATCATCAATGACATTAAGTTTTTTAAATAATATAACAAATGAAAAAAAATCTTCTTTATCACGAATTATTCAAACAAAAGAAGCAATAAAACAATTATTAAAAGAAATAGCTGCAGCAGCAAGTCCATTAGATCAAGCTATTTTAACAACATTTGATGATAAACTTAAAAATCCAGCTTTAATTCCTCTATGTAATGCTTTAGATATTGCTAATGAATCAAATTTAATTCGTATTGATGAAATTCAATTAAGTTCTCGATCTGTAGATACATATTTGTATTCAGTCTTAAAACAAGTCTATGAAATGTTTGAACAACAACCATTTTTATATATTGATCTTTATATATTTTCTGATGGAATTGATACAAGTCCGAAAAAAAATGATAAAACATATCAAGCAATTATTCGTGGTTTAAATGAAAGAATTGGTGCAAAATGTCATTTTATGAATTGTGGTTCAGCATCTCTAGGATTTTCTGTAGCAGCATGGTTAGGTGATAAAGAAGCTGATTGTTCTATATCAGGTGATATTGAAGAAATTAAAACACAAGTCAAAACTGTTTATACAAGAGATCATGCAAGAAATCTGGATTTAACTACAACAACAACAATTCGTTTTCGAGGAAAAACACTTAATGTTCCATCACCAACACTAAATACATATATGACAGATGCAGAAGCTGCATCTAGTCGTAAACCAAAACAAAAAGTTATATCCCAAGATGAAGGTCTGCCAAAGAATACATTTTTTCGACATTCCAATCTAAATCTAAGGAATTTTTTTGATTATGTACCTACTCTTCCATCGGCAAATCGTACTCGTTCTTCCAGTGCTACCGATAGCACATCGAAATCACCTGATCTATTTAACATTGTCACGCGTAATTTAGCTGCTCGAAAACTTAATTAAGATCGAGCAGATTCTAATAATTATCTACTAGTTTCATATATATATATATGATATAAATTCTTAAATAAAAATTTTTTCAATAAACAAATGCTTATATTTTATTGTAAGACAATCGAACGAATCATTCTGTTATTTTATTCTAACTTTTTTGCCTCCACTACTAATACAGTACATTGTGCAGCTTTACTAACATAGTCATTGTTTTCATTTGTTTAATATGATAATAATCAAGAGTTTGCTTAAAATCACTATATGGAGATTGTAATGATTTATCATATATAGATTTGCAAAGAGTAAGAACTTCAATTTACATGCTAACATAAATGAACTAGATGGTATTCGAGTTCGACTCGAATATGAAATGCGGTGCGAAGCACGCAACGAGAGCATGGAGAAAACGAGTTTCCAATTAAACAGAGATAATCGGTCTGAATATCTGTCATGATTCACTCTCACATTCAGACGTACGTCTAAGTTCTATGACAATTGAAAATATTTCTAAGTCATTTTGAATCAACAAAGGAAAACATTTTAATCAACCAGCTGATCTGACTTAAATCGGACATAAAAAGTAGTCATTCTAAAATTCATTACTATGTGAACTTTACTAAAATGTAACGATAGACTTCTAGAAATCACTCTTCATTGATCGATTAATTATCTTTATGATTCATTATCTATTGTTAGCCGTATTCACAGCTGTTTGACATATAGAAAAAGTGACTGACACCTAACTTTCGTTTTAATTATCTCGAAATGAATAAAGCTTAAAATCGTGTTAAATTCATTATCTTCGGAAGTCATTTCTTCGAGAACGAAATATCGAATGAAGATTCTGGTAAAAAAAAGGGTAGTCGTTCGATCTCGATACTCGAACTTCATGTTTGAACAAATACTTTATAATTTTCCGTTCTCGAATTCATCGCATAACAAAATGGTAAGTTTTGATGCATACGTCAAGTAAGAACGAAAGTAAATTCGCCAAGGACCTCATGAATGCTGTACTTCACACTGCATTAAAAAAAGCTTGCGAAGGACTACATAAATACTGTAGTTCGCATCGCATTAATGATTCAAGGTGAAACAGATTCAAGTTTATTCGACACAGTTATCATAGGCGTGCATTGAATCAGAACCGTAGTTTGTGATCGAGTTCGAGAACTATCTAACGAATACAGACCGTGCCGAATATTTAGGTAATTGCCGAAGTATTTCTTAAAGTACATGGATGAAACCCTAAGGTCCGACCAACTTTGAATTCAGACTCGAGTATTTTTGAATATAGTTGATTTCTTATTAGAATGTCTATCTTGCAGTAGTTTTTGGATCATTTATTGCATTGTATATAGATCTAAAATAGTCAACCATGAAATAATTTCTTTTAGTTTATTTCTACTTCCTTTTATTAATTAATTATAAATGATTAGAATCAGAATTGCACCCGAACATTCATGTTCAATGCATATCACATTCATTGAATCTGGTGCAAGAAAGAATATCGTTTATAATAGAAGTAAATCTCAAATGCATCGTAGGAGTCTTTAATCGATAACAAAAACATTGCTGTTTTCTTTTATGTATGTGAACTGCAATGAATTGTCATTCAATTGTGAATATTGTAATGTTGTTCATCAAAACAATGAGTTTCTCACGAAAAAATTATTTTAATAATTCTTCATCAGTATATTATGCCGCTAGAAGTATTCATGTGAGCGAGAAAAAATAATATTGACTGTTAAGACAAGAGGACGCTCGCAATGAACGAGTATCATCAACAAGAAATAACAGCCTTCACTTTTCACAATAGTAATAACTAAAAACAAATTAAAGAGACATTCGAATTTAAAAGAATAGAATAAATACACATATAAGAAAAAGAATAGTGTCTCGTTTCGCATTTTTTTTTCTTCTTAGATCAAGATGCACAGAAAATAAGAAGAATGATTGATCATCATTCCGATATACGCAAAAAACCCCATTAAAAAACAAAAGAAATACGACAAATATAAATAACAATTATATTCAACAAAAAGAAATTTAAATAAGAAAAGAAGAAGACGAACCAACGAGTATCATAAAGTAATCTTTAAAAAGACAAAAAAAAATACGTCTAATTAAAGCGTCATACGTCCTCTGTCGCTGTCGGCGCTGGTGTTGTTGTAGACGTTTTAGTCTTTTTTTTCAAAGATTTCTTCGGTTTTTTAGGTTTCGTTGTTGCTTGCTGTTCGTCTGTTTTAAATTAGAAAAATTCAATTAATATATAATTTATATATTCTTTTCGAAATGTTTACCATTAGGTATAGGTGACGCAGCTGATCCATTAAGTTGTGCATCATAACTAGTTGAATTTGGGGTTATATTAACGGAATCAACAATTTCAAAACTATTGGCATCACTACCACCATTACTACCATTGGTTATTAAATGTTGAATAGGTGATATCAATCCATGTGGACCGCCAACTGGCATTGGAAATCGTGAACCCATCATAAATGGATTACGTGGAGGAGGCATAAATGGTGGTGGAAAGAATGGAGGTCGTGATAAACCAAATAGAGGTGGTCCTAAAGGAAAAATGATTGTATATGAGAATGATAAAATTAAAAATAATTCTTACGGATTCTAAACATTTCAGCTGGACTAGCAGCACCTGAATCATTACGTTCATGATCAATTGGTCGAAAACTATAGAGTAATAAGACAGTTTCTTTTTTTGTTTTTATTCAAAAGCAATTATCGTACTTTTCTCCTTGTTGATATGGCAGTGGTGAAGAATTACTACTTATTTCTGGTTCACTTGACATTCGACCTAAAACAAATTAACGAAAAAGAAAAATATTTCAATTTTAAAAAATTTTTTTATTTTGTAAAACTTACTACTGTTATTGATATGTTGTGGTATTGGTTTATGCATTGTTTGCTCTTGAGATAAACGTTCACTGTTTGCATATTTAGTAATTCTATATGATAAAAAGATAACAAACTATAAATGAATAATAATAAAATATAAAAACATACTGTCTTCGTAGACTTTCACATTCTTTTCTTGAACCATCAAGTTCTCTTGTTAATCGTTTAACTTCCATCCATTTTTCATGTGTTTCATGTTGTAATTTACTAGATTCTTCATTAAATTTTGTTTGTTCACTAGCAAGAACTTTTTGTACATCTTCTAATTGTTTTCTAAAATTAAAATTCATTATTTTATTTTTTTGTTTTTAAATTTTCTTAAAGAAATAATTAAATATTACTGTTTAAATTCTAATTGTTGTTGTAAAATTCTAACACGTTCAGTATCTGTTCTTGCTTTACGTAATTCAGCATCAGTTTGTCCTAATTGACGAATATGTAAATGAGCATCACGTTCTCGTAATTCTAAAACAACTTTTAATTTTGTTTCAAGTTCTTTACAACGATCTTTTTCTTGATTAAGTAATAAATCAAGTTCTTTAATACGACGAGTTTTTTCATCAATATCAGTATGTAAATGACGCATATGTTGATTAGCTTTTTCAATATCATTATCAATATTGGATAAAAGTTCTTGTTGATCATTGTCATTCATATTTTCTTTTACTGTTGAAAGTAAATTACTTATTTCTAAAAAGAAAAAATATATCTTAATTAAGTTAGAAAAAAATAAAGAATAATTAAGAAATAACCTGTTGTTTTATCTTCATCATCATCATCATCATCATCATTATTAAGTATTTTTTCTCGAATTTGTGCTATAGTTTCATCTTTTTGTTCAAGTAAATCTTTGAGTTGTTTCATTTTAATAGTTAATTGATTATTATCAATATCTAATTGATTAGCACGTTCTTGTACTTGATCTAATTGATCTAATTGTATAAGTTTGTCTTGTTTTAATTGTGTTATTTCAGATTTAAGTTCATGAATTATTCCTTCTAATTTTTCAACATGGTCTAATGAAAGATCAGTAGATTGTAAACGAATAATAGTTTCTTGTTCTTTTTCTAATTCTTGTTTTTGTCGAAGAACCTAAATTATTCAATAGTTAATCATTAAAGGAATATGATTGTTATTCAATGATTCAATTTCATCAATGATAAATATTCTATTGCCGACTGTATGTAATACAAAACAAAACTCTATTATATCAATTATTTTGTATTAAAATCAAAAGCAAATATCATTTGGGTGTATGTGTCACATGTTGTAATTTAATGGTCAAATTTACTATGCCCAAAAAATTGAACAAGCGTCTTTTATAAATTGAAATCAGTGAAGTGTAACACAAACACATTTACAGTGACAAAGATTTATATCGAGTAAATTATTTAAAGTGAATCGTTACGAAAAGACAACTGATCATATAGAAATACTTTTTGGAAGATTAATTTTTTAAATTATAGATTAGAAGATGTTAGAGAGTAATTTGAATATTATTCTTTAGCCTTGAGTCTCAATGTTACATGCATTGACTAGAATAAATAAATGCATACCATAAAAGGTAAAGAATCTGACTAAGTCAAATGGAAACAGCTGGCCTCCAGCTTGTTTTATTCTATTGTTTCCTATTGCAACTATATTCTGTATGTTTGACAAGTGCAAAAAAAATTTTTTTTTTATTAATATTTTAGAAATATTAATCAGATATATTCAAATAAAATAAAATATTCTTACTTCGTCGTTCAAAGATGCAATAGTTTCAACTTGTTTGTGTATATCAAATTCATATTTTTGTATTACACTTGTTTTATAATCAATATCATTTTGTAAAATATCATTTTCATTTCGTGCAATATTGCAATCAGCATGAAGACGTTCATATCTTTCACGTAATTCAAAAATTTCTTCACCTGTATCACATACTGGTAGTTTTCTTAATTCATCAATTTGATCAGATAGTCTAAAAACAAAAACAAAAATTTACAATATAAATCATTTTTTTGTTTCATTAATTTTACTCTTGATTTTGTTTTTCAAATGTTGCACGTTCAAGTTCAATTTGATTATTAAATTGTTGAAGTTGTTGACATTGAGCACGAATTTTTTTGTCTTGTTTATTGTGTTTTAAATGTGTAGCACCGATTGAAAGAAAAACAAAACTAAATAGAAAACACATACTACATATTGAACCAAACCATACGGTATTCATTATTGTTTCACGATTATCTATATATTCAAATAAAGTTGTTTGAATAAATTCAGGTAACTAAAAACAAAAGAAACAAATAATATTAATAATGAATTTATACGATAAAACAAAAAAAGACTTACGAGATTAACAAAACCTAATGTTTGATTTTCTATTAATTCAAAAACTGGATGAAATGAATTTGGTAAATGCCAACAAATTTGAGGATATATAATTGGTAATTTTCTTTTACTGTTATTTGATGTTGATGTTGGTGAATTATTTGTTTTTTCAACCTAACAGAAAAAAAAAGTCATTTTGAAAATTGATCATATTTTAATATGACTTACTTTCAAGTCACTGTGTGTAAAAGGTTGATTTATTTCATTCCTATTGCTATTTGTTTGAATTGTATTTGTCATTGTTTCAATTGTAGAATCGATAGTTGGTGTTGTTTGTTCATTTTCAAGTATACGTGGTAAATGTGGACTATGATCATTAGCTAAAAATGAAGCAACAGTTGTATGACTTTCAATTTGTTTATCAATATTTTGTTTTTCATTTTTATTTGATTCTTCTTCTAGTTCATCAAGTATTGCTTGTGGATCATGAACATGTACTTGGCGTGGAAGATCGGTAACATCGTTGAATTTTTTATTTTGTTCATTAATATCCGTTGGAACTTCATTATTGACATTAAGATCTATTATGGGTTGTTGAACAATTTCGACGTGAGGTTCTTTTGGTCCTAATAATGATGATTCAACTGAATCAATACGTTCTTCGATTGATTGTGCAGTAATAGGCATCATTGTCGATGGCAATGTTGATTCTACGGTAGGCATCGTTGTTGATGATAATGTTGATTCAATTGTAGCAGCCTTAATTGATTCCACAGTAGATGTGATTGTTGATGCTAATGTTGATTCCACAGTAGACATGATTGTTGATGATAATGTTGATTCAATTGTAGCTGCCTGTGTTGATTCCACAATAGGCATCATTGTTGAGGATAATATTGATTCAATGGTAGTAGTCATCACTGTTGATGATAATGTTGATTCAATTGTAGCAGCTTGTGTTGATTCCACAATAGGCATCATTGTTGAGGATAGGATTGGTTCAATGGTAGTAGTCATCATTGTTGATGATAATGTTGATTCAATTGTAGCAGCTTGTGTTGATTCCACAATAGGCATCATTGTTGATGATAATGTTGCTGCAATGGTAGCAGCCTTTGTTGATTCAATAGTAGACATAGTAGTTGAAGATGTTGTGTCAATAGTTGAATCTTTTGAGAACGAAAAGTAAATAAATATATTAAAAGATTATACATTAACATTACCTGTAGTTGAAATCTTTTCTGGTTCTTCTTGTTTTGAATGCAGATGACGATGACGTCCTTGAGCAGTTTGAGTCGTTCTTGTTGTTGCTCCACGTAAAACTCTTGCTGATGGTGGTGATGTTCGAATATTCGTAGGAGGTTCTTTGTTTTCGGATAAAATATTGTCTGATTTGACATTAGTTGGTACTGATTCTGTTGGTTTCATTGTATTGATGACTTGTGCTTGTTGATCTACTTGTATTGAAGGTGTATTATGATCTATTGAACCAGTATTTTGTATTGTTTCTGGAGTTTGTTGTTTTTGATCTAATGAGCCAACATGTTGTTGAGTTTCTGAACTTGACTGTTGTTGATTTGATGAACTGACATGTTGTATCGTATCAGATATTTGTTGTTTTTGATCTTCTTTTATTATTGTTGGAGAAGATGCACTCTGATGTACTGGACTCGCATTTTGTGTTGTATCGGATGTTTGTTGTTGTTGTTGTAAAGTCAGATCTAATGAATGAGCGTTTGGTATTGGTTCGGGTACAGGTTGTTGTCGATCTGGTTTAGGATCGAGTGAATTAACAGTTTGTATCGAATCGTATATTTGTGGCTTTTGGTCTTCTTTTATTGGTGTTGGAGAAGATAACTTCTGATCTAATGAATGGCCGTTTTGTATTGTTTCAAGTACTGGTTGTTGCTGATCTAGTTTAGAATCGGGTGAACTAACTTTTTGTATTGTATCAGATTTTAGTTGTTGTGATTGATCTATTTGTGATGATGTTGGAAATGAAGATTTAACATCAAGCTCACTGTTGTTTGGTACTGTTTGATTTATAATTGCATTGGCTATTGACTGTTGTTGATCTGAAGAAGGTGGAATGTGATTAGTTATAGGTTTCACTATATTAAGTGTTTCGTTTTGTTGATGAGATTGTGTTGACGGCAGAGTTTCTTTATTAATAGTTGAAATATCTTCTTTTATTACTTTCTCTTGAATGACACCTATTGGTTGCTGTTCATTAGTTTGTACTCCTGTTGGAGATATAATTTCATTAGAAACGGGTTTCAAATGTAATTTTTCATCTAAAATTTGAGCATGTTTCACTGTATCAATTATCGGTGGTGCTTGTGTTGATGGTTGTTCATCGCTGGTATGCTGTTGTCGTTCCTGTGGTGTTTGTCTAGATGTTGTTTCGTTTAGTATGCGTGGTGGTACTTCAACGTTTTCTTTTATTTGATTTTGTGATGGTGCATTATGAATAGTATCTACTATCGGCGGAGTTATATGTTGAGATTCAGGTTCCTTTTTATATTCCTTCTCCAATGCTGAATTTAACCGATTGATATCTTATGAAAAAAAAGAAAATTTTGTCATCTCAAAATACAAAAAAAAAAATTCTTACAATCTTGTTCATTATCAGATTTATCATCAATACTTTGTTGATGAACTGATTGTCTTAAATCATGTTTAGCTCGAAGACGAGCTTCAATTGTATCACCCACATGTTCATCATCATTAGATTGTTGAAATTCATTTTTTTGAACATTTGTAGTTTCTAAAAAACACATAAGATTTATGTACATGGAAAAAAAAAGCAGCAATACTAACCTATATGTTTACTAAGAGGATCAACATTGATAGCTGATTGAGAATATTGAGTTGTCGCAGGATCTATATGATTCTGATGTTCATGAGCATAACAATTGTAAATGAATAAACAGAGACAGATGAATAAACAAGACTGCATCACCGCATTACACAGCCTCATCTATAATAACAAAAAAAAATAATGTCGATTTGTCGATAATTTACCCACGTAATATATACGTTTGTAGTAATTAAAATAGTTAACGAGAAAAACGACAGTTAAGTCACAATAAAAATCAAAGAAAGAACAAGATATTAGTTTATTGTATAGGAAAAACAAATAAGTAAGAAAATGTATACCAGAACGAAAAAAAAGGAAACCATCTTTCAACGCGACACGACAAAACATCCACTCAAAATAATATTATAAAGCATCCAATAGAAAACAAGCGCTACTTGTATAGAATCAGATTGAGGGCGAGACGAATACGTCAATGATATGCGATGTAGATGGGTGATGACTTCAACCACTTTTCCCCTTTGTCATTTGGTCAAAAGCCGTAGTAAAGGAAATAGAGTGTTTTTATCTTTCAAATTATTTTCACTATGATTTCTTTTTATTGAAATATTTTAGTTTTTTGTATCCAAAATAATATATGAAAATTTTTGTCTTTTAATTTATTTAAGCTATTTCTAAGTCTATTGATCTATTTTTCAATAATTATTGATTAATCATATCTAGATGTCTATAACTGCTTAATCTATTAGCCTATAAAACGACAATTTTATAAATAAAAATAATATTATTATTCAAGCCAATTAGAAATAGGAAAAAAAATATATTTACTAAATATAAAAATCTCGTAAATACGTCGTTTCGCTTTCATTATTTTTCTAGAATCAGCAATCAAAATTCTGAGAAATCGAATAACAAATATTGTGAATATTTCTTCATGTTGACAATAGTTTTTGAAACATCCGTACTTTCTCATCTTTTCAATTCAAATTGTTTTAATCGTATTTCTGTTCCTTAGTTGAATAAAACAATACGTAAACAACCGTATACGATGATCTTGTACAATGTAACATTAACACATCACATTTAATCACAGTGTACATGCTATATCTACAACACAGTATAGAAGTGCCTTAAACCGATTATTAATTATCACATAATGATATACAACTGATAATTCTTATTCAGTCCTATTTGGCACTACTGAATATTTCATAATCTAATGTCTTTAAGAGCTGATTTGTTCTAAAAATATTTTTTTCTCTCTGTTGCCTTTCAAATTGATGAGCTGCATTATATATATATCAATGAATAGATTTTGTTGAGTTGTATTCGACTCAATTAACCTTTTCACAGCAGGTGTCCTATAAATGGAATGATGACATTTTTCTTTTGATACAGGTATCAAATTGTACTCGAAATACAAATTGATATTAGCATTTAACAAGGTCTGTCTATTATAACGAAAGATAGACTGAAAGCTACGTAAGTTTTGCAGCAAACATGCACTTTTAATGGAAAACTTTCAACACTCACTCAGAATTTTCCTAAAAAATCTCCAAAAAAAGTAAGCTTTTTAGACCTACACAGTTTATACTTGTACATTCTCTCTCCTTTCTTTCCTTCTGTCGATATTACAGTATGGCATCATCACACCCTTACAATTCATGATTCGAAGCAGAAAATGTGATATTGGCTTATGCATAGCAACCTGTTTTTGAGACCTATCATATATTCAGACACTTCTAATAAAAATAATATTATAAAAGACGGAGTTCATTAGGTTCTGGGGCTTCCACCAATGGAAAAGACCATTTTGACTTTCAGAGGCACAAGCTTGTTATAGATTGTACTAAAGGTCTACTTTTTCATTAAATACGAACAAGTTTTTCACTAAAAATAACCCTGACGTAAAGGGATTAACTGCAATGTTTAAAAAAAAATCTTTGGGTTACCTTTTATGGCGATCAAAGTTGAAATCATTGTCAAGCATATGTAGAGATATGCAGTTTTTTTCTTTTCTTCACAACCATCGTTTCTTCGTAACAAGCGCTATATATGATGAGAGTATCTCAGTTTAGCTACAATCATGTGACGGTATCTTCCAAGCTTCTATGTCGATACCTACTAAAGACTGAAACGAGGAAAATTTTTCGTTACCCACCCAACCTCGTCGCGCCTTAATAAAATACTTGCACCTTTTGACCATATCATCTGTTTGATTACACATGGAAAAATAATAAATACAAGAGTACAATAAAGAAAACAATTCGAGATTATCAATCAATCTTGCACTTTATTAGCCTCTTTTGAATGAAGTAATAAACGTTCTCGTTCAGTATCTAAACACATGTATTAAATGATTATTGTTTAATCTTAAACAAAAGATGTTCAGGAAAATGGGAAAGTGAAAATTGGCCGAACAAAAATCGGCTGCCGAGAATTTTCGATATGAGAATTAGAAGGTTCGAATATTAGCCGGAAAATTTATAATACAAAAACAAGGTTTTTTTTTTATCAAAAACCTTAATTTTTATAAAAGTTAGAATTTGGGTTCTATTTTCCCTTATATTCGAAGCATACTTTTTCTTATGCAACTCGATAAGCTCTATCCAATCATCAAGAAAAAAAGAAACCTTGCTAGTATTTTGAATTCCAAGGTATGTATATGTGATGTAAATACCTTAAAATTTGACTATCTCGACTTGGGTATGACAAGGACAGCGTATATTTTAAGTTTGTTAGTGTGCCGATGAAAAGTTTATTTTGACCCAGATGTCTAAATGACAGTTATTAGAAGCAAAAAGTCCGTTTTATACTTTATATATATATATATATTATCACAGACTGTTAATTAAAAAACTGTGCGTTTCAGAATTGACATAACCTGTTTTTATTATAAGAAAAAACGCAAAGGCTAGAGACATATATCAAGAAGGATTATTAATTCATGATTCTCATGAATTCGACAAGTCAATAAACTGAAATAGATTGGAAGAAGATTCTTTTTCAGAATTTGGATAAAAAAAATACTCGATACTGTTGGATCTTTAAACTTCACACCAAAGTCTCTTTTGTCGTATTCTTGTTTTTATTATGACAAAACTAGTATAATTGAAGCATTTACATTATGACTTTGCTTAACAGGATATTAAGTTCTATTTGGCCTAGAACTCATGTGTTGCTAAATGATATAAATACGTCAAAATCTGAATTTTATCCTATAAAACTCTTGATTAGAGATGCACAAGTAGGACCTGACAACGACGTATTTTACGTTTCTTTTATTTGCATTCTATTTCATTGCTTTCGGTTAGAAATTCATTTTCGTTTTGCAATTCAACTGGAAAAATTATTTGATAGTCAAGTATATTTTATTTATAAAAGAAAAAAAAATTCTAAAAATTGAACGATATTATAAACTATGTATTTTAATAGGTCTTTGAGGACAAATAGCTATATCCAAACAACCTGCAGTATTAAGTTGTCCATCATTACTCACGTGTACTTGATTGTGGCGATATACAAATTTATAAAACCAGAATGATTTTACAATACTAAAAAATTTATTTTTTAATTTTGGGCATAAATAATAAACAAACATAAGGAAAGAATAATGTTTGGATATATGGAAATAGATACAAAATATTGAACGAAGATAACTATAAAGTTACTTACATATATATATAAATACATATTATTGAATAAAAATTGCTTTTTTGTTCAAGTATTCTTCATCGATTGGTTTTTCTTTCAATTTTACAAGAAATAGAAGTCTCATATATTTCACTTGAAGAATGAATCAATGAAGATGTGTGTATATAAAATCGATTTATTGTTGAATCAGAGTGATGAACTGATTTTTATATGTATATCATACTTGTAGAAAGGTTTTTCAATATTAAATGAATAGGAACAATTAAAATAATGTTCCATTGATTGATTTTACTTTTTATATGCCAGTTATTGATATGTTTTTTTACTTCTGTTATCATTTTTATACGCACGCATATCATAATGTTCTTTTTTCTACGTTCACTGATCCATCATATTGACATATATTGAAGACAAGAAAAGTAAAATATCAATTGTTTACTTGAATGTAGAAATAGTGTCTTTGAAATTAGTTTTTTTCTAATAGAAAAAATTCTTAAAATTCTTTTAATAGTTGTTTTGTTTCTGTAAGAATTTCCTTTGCAGACATCTAAGATTTCTATTGACGAAGATTTAATTGACTCAAACTTTAATTAACTGAAAACATTCGTATTATATTGAATTACTGGGATGTGACAAAAAAAAATAGATGAACGACGCAAAAAGAAAAAACTACTGTATAGTTTATCTGTTAGAAACACATAATGATAGTAGTGAAGATAATACATATAAGAAAATTTATCAAGTGTTTATCGACGTTCTTCTTTCATGTGAACAAGCTGTTCGTGATACAACTGATGGTTCATCTTCGTTTAAAACATCTGTTGGGTTTGTAAGATCACTATTTGCATTTGATATATGAACATCATTAGCACTACGTGTATACGGATGAACACCATTTAAAAGATAATAACCGATACCAAGAGCTAAATAAATGAATATTCAAATGTATGAACAAATCATTTCAACAAATAAATGATCATACCAATTATAGCAGAAAGAAAAAACCCAGCAAAATTATTCATGACCATTAACATTAATATATAACTCAAAGCAGTTTGAGCCAAATATACAAGTGTACGTAACATATGAAGCATAAATCTGAATGAAACAACATGGAATTCATAAAATTTAAATTTCATCTTTGAAATACCGTCGTCTTCGGATTGTTTGTTCAGACAAAGTAATTGATTGATGTCTATTAACATTACTTCTAGTTAATGAATAATGTCGAAGGTAAAGATCAATACCTCGATTTAATTCAATCAATAGTGCAAAAGCCATACATGCAATAATAGAACCAAAACAGTCTTTAAAAAAAAGTCATTATATGTAGTTTTTATAGGGTTTTTTTTAAATTTTAAATTATAATTCACCTCCAAATGAAACAATATTTAAATTGTTGATCATAAAATTGTTTTGATAACATTTAAATGTGAACGTCATCTTTATTTTTCTGACAAAATAATATCTACAACAAAGTTTATATAAATTTTTATATACTTGAAAAAACAAAATCTATCTAACAAATGTAAAAATATAGAAAAAAAATTTTTTTTTCGTTTCATGATAGTGTACAATATCATCATCTTCTCTCGCCTGCTTTGTACTCTACATAGCAGATTATAAAATCGTTTTTGTTTTGCACTAGCTGATACTCTATTCAAAAATGGATTTGTTTTCATCTTTTTCTTCATAACTAAAAATAGTATATCACTCTTCTATTTTGTGTCGAAGGTTCTTTTTTATACACTGATATTTTTTACAATACACAAGGATCATACATCATTAGAACTAGCATTATTAACTAACAAATGGATTGATTTTGATTAGTAAACTATACTTCAAATAAGTAAATTTTTTCAGAAGGAATACATTTGAAAGTTTACTTACACAACCTTTTATTTCTAACATAACAGTAGCTCAGTAGGAAAAAGTATCGTTGTTTATTAAAATTAGAAAATAATATCTCATAACAAATCAAACTGAAAAAGTAGAATTGTTACGCTTCTCGTACATTCATGTTTATTAATTGTTTCTTCACTGGTATAATAGTTCTAGATGATATGAAAATACCAAGAAAATGACAGAAACAAAAATGAAGTCTAACAAATATTTCTCATTATCTTTGTAATGGATGCGAATTTTGCAACTGAAAATTTTCAATTTGGAATTGCTTATCAAATAACATTTTCGATTACTATTTAGTTTAAATACTTTTACTAAGACGATGAACGTCGATAAGTAAATAAGTGATCTAGCTAAATTCATTTCGATTATATTTCTCGCACTATGAATAAATTTGATCAATATAAGAAACAAACTATGTCTACTGAATCTTCTCTATTTAATCGATAGAATAATAATTCACATAGATTAATAATATTTGCTGATTAACTAACTCGTATAATTACATGGAACGAGATATAATACATGATTTATCATCCAATCAACTTTTTTTCGTTCTTGAGCAACTAAGCTTGTTTTGTTTTACCATTGTCTGTAAATCAAATGTACGCAATGTTTTTTTTTTGTAATTGATGCTGATGGATCAATTGCATTTTTCCTTTAACGAATAATCTATAAAAGCAATGTCAAAAATATTCCTTCATTACGATAAAACAATCGTTTTATGTTTTTAATTATCATGTCAAATATTTTACAATGACAATGATGGTTTATGTTTTTTTTTACGACTACAAGTGACAGAACAAATGGATTATACCAAAGAAAGTAGAACAAAAAAAAAGGTGATCATCATCTAGATCCATGAATAGAACAATGACAAGTTTAAAAAAAAAAATAATAGTAGCTCATAGTAATAAACAAAACGAAAACGGACCGGGCAAAAACAAAACGAGATTTGATTACATACAAAAAAAAAACGAAGAAGATTTATATACATTTTCATTTTCTTTTCTGATTCTTTGTTGTTAGGTATTCTGTTTGACTTGAAGTTGACATGTTATATCGTTTCGTTTAGCTTTTACTCTTTGTATTGTTTGTTGTGAACATGAATCATCATTAAATAATTCATTCATATCAAGTTCAAGATTAAGTTCATTATCATCATCATCATCATCATCATCATCAACTGAGGGAATTTCATTCTAAAAAAAAGAAACAATTAAAGTCATAAAATTTTTTATTATACAATACTACTTACCTGTTCTAGAGAATTTTGAATATTATTTGTATCTCCACGACTTGTACTTGCAATTAAAGGTGGTGATAAAGTTGATGATGATGCTGGTGTTGTTGGAGATGCTGAATTGATTGTTGTAATTGTTGAATCTGTTGTTTTATTAATAAATCGTACAATTGGTGGTTGTGTTGAATGTTTTTTTGAATCATGACTTGTTACACGAGATGTTAAACGAACAACAGGTACTGTTGGTTTTAAACGTTTATTCGAATGACAATTATCTACGGAAGTTGGAGGACGTTTTCGATTCTATAATTATAAATATAGATTGTCATAAAATCTATTTTTTGTTCTAGAACCGAAATTTTGATATTTTACAATGATTTATCATCATATGAAATTTAATAATATAGCTGAATCGCTGTATTATTTTAGAACCATCACGAATTCTCTAGTCTTATAATAACAGAATTTTCAGATGAAAAAAAAAGACCTTAAATTTCATATCAAAAGAAATGCTAAACAAATATTTAATTAAATTTGTTTTCTTTAAAATAAACTCTAAAAAACAATTATTATAAAAACCATTATCCTACTCTACCGTGTATATCTCTAGAAAAAATCAACTTTTTGACTTAGATATAAAGATCTATCGAATTGAAAATCAATGATTAATTATTGAGTTTTAATCAGTTAATTTATTGAAATAATATGGAATATTACCAAATCTTTTGTTGATGATGAACAAAAATGTTGTTGTTTTTGACTAGATGATAATGATGATTTTCGATTATTATTTGAAGTAGTTAAATGTTGTTTAGTATTACTAATTTTTTTCATTTGTTCATTTCTTGTTTTCATATAAATTTTCATTTTATCTAATTTTTGTTTTAATTTTCCTAATAAAATTTTTATTTGTTGACATTCATCTGAATGTTGATTATTTTCAATTTGTTTTTGTTCATCTTCTAAACCTTTTATTTCTGTTTTAGTTGTTATAAAATCAATTTGTAAATTAACACGACGTTCATGTTTTTTTAATGCATCTAATTGTTGTTTTAATTTAGCACGTTCATATTTAAAAGTTTTCTTTTCATTATCTGTATACATATTTAATGTTAAACGTTGTTCATAATCTTCAATTTGTTTAATAACATTGGATATTTTTTTTGATGTTGTTTGAGTTTCTTTTTGTAATAAAATAAGTATTGATGATGGATCACGATGATCAGATAAAACTGGATATGGAAGTTTTAATGTTGATTCTTTACGATGATTAGAAGATAATGTTGAATTAGAATTTATTTTATTTATAGAAGAATCTGAATTTGGTTTATTTGATAAACAAGATGAAGATGATGATGATGAATGTATAGATGAAAATGATGATGAACGAGAAATATTTAGTGATGGTGAATAAAATTCATTTCGTTTATTCTTTGTAGATAATATTTGACCGTTAGTAGTAGGAGAGTTTTCCGTAATTATAGTATTCGATGTCATTCTGCAAAAAAAAAAAGACAAACAATTCATATACACTCCTGAACAAAAATCTTCCTTCCACTCTCTCATTGTTTTCGTATCAAACCATTTTACTTTCAAGTGAATGCTAGCAACAAGGATGTCTGAAGTACTTTATTATAATGTAGTGTATGATTGATGATAATTTGCTTCAATGAAGAAAATACATCTTTCAATACAATTGAGCAATACTACAAATGTGTTGGTCGACAGAATATTTCACGAGTAGGTTATCTCTTTTTTTGTATCCGCTAACTGTTCTACTGGCTTGGATCACTAATTTCTCTTCAACGTCAACTCAAAGCTTTTCTGAGACTGTGATATAGTTGACTATACAAATAAAGAAAAAGTAAAACTAGTAAAACATTCAGAAAAAATTTAAAAAAAAATAATCCAGCTATGAAATATTCTATCAACCAATTCATTTGCAGTATTGACCAATTGTATTGAGTGATGTATATTCTGCATTGAAGTAGGTTGTTATCAATCATATACTATACTAAAATACAGTATTTAAGCCATTCTTGTAATCTACATTTACCTGAGGTGAAAGGGATTCGATACGAAAAGAATGAGAGAGGAGACGAGAAAAACTTTTGCTCGTAGGCGTAAGTCATTCAAGTTTGGTTTTATTTTTAAGTTATAATGAAAAATTTTTCATTGATATTTCACTTGGTAGAAGTAGATGTCGATGAAACTAGAAAAAGATTTCATATGTAAAGAAACAATAAGTATTTGAATACAATAGATTTTTGTATTCTCTGAAGATGCCAATTAGAAGACATATTTCTTTATTCTGATTTATTGAATTTTCAGAAAAATCTTTAGATGATATAGAATGATAGAAATAATTGTGCAATAGTAACGGCCAATTTAACAGTGCTATCAGTTTCTCATAGCATGAAGTTGTTTGAATAATTCAAAACAAAAAAATAACAGCCATCATCGTATGTTTCTCAGTAGTATTTGACAGTATCTCTTTAGATAGGAAGAAATCGAGTTTTACTAAGTTATTAAACATCTCGAGAAATTAACATTAGTCTTACCGGAAAATTTTTGAAGATCTTGAAGAGCAATAATGAACAGGCTATATGATTAGGGGTGGGAAGTGCGATGATTTTCCCGTCCTAAATTTTCTCTTACTTCTAACCTTTCTCTCTGAAAGTTTTTATTGACCGCTATATAGTGATTTTGCGGTGTTTCTTATAAAGCAAATATAGGAAAAGTATATATGTGGGAAAACTGTTTTCGTAGTTTTCAGAGAGAATTCTTGATTTGCTCTGGAATAGAAAGTCATTATTCCGAATATTCAAGGAAAATCGACTTTGTATCATAAAGAAAATGTTTCACTTCTGTTTCGGAAAAAGAATTAACTACTTTTTCTGAAACAGCGAAAAGCTTTTCATTTGTAAATGCTTTCTTCCTAAGTTTAGGAGATCTTCTTCTCCTCATGAATGAAGCCAAAAGAAAACTATGATAATGAACAAGATCCCTTCATTCAATGTTTTTTTGTTGTATCAATATTAATATGTCAACATCTTAAGAAAAACGACTATAACTTCACAAAGTTCAACTTATGATTCTTTATTATCTTAGACTTTCTCTACTTTCATAGAAGCCTATTTTACGTCAGAAACAAAATAATATTTCGAACCCTATTTTTTTTCTTGTAAACTTACTTAATTGATGTGACCAATACAAGACAATTATAAAATTACATTTTCATGGCTGATATACATCTGAAAAACAAAGAAATATAGTAGACCATACACATATATAGATACAAAAAACAGGATCAAAGAAATGTATTACATAACAAAAGACATATTAATAATACGAGAACAAAACAAGACAAAAAAAAAACAAAGATACATAGGATTATTCAAGGATTTGATGATAATCCATAAAGAATTAAACTAAGTGTTGATGATGGTCCAGCATTATGTTTTGAAAACGATGGAAACATACGTTCAACACCAGCTGATCGTTTTGTTGATTTACCCAAATGTGTACAACGATTAAAACTTGGTAATATTAATGTTTCAATTGTTGATTTTTTATTATTTATACTAGATGATTGTGTTGGTCGTGGTGGAATAGGTGTTGGACGTTCCCATCGTTCATAATTTTTATTATTATAATTACCATTTGGTATATCATTTGAATCTTCATCAATAGAAAAATTATTTGTATCATCATCCGTATCACCATCAATTGATGGATTATTATTATCATCATCGTCATCATCATCATCATCATGTTCACTACCACTTAATTTAAGTAAAGCATTTATATCTTGATGTGTTAATGATTCAACAATTTTTCTACCAAGAGAAATATCACGTGGTGATGGTGGAGTAGGTGGTGTTGTTGATAAATCATTAAAATTAAGATTTTTTCGATGTTCAGCATTTGGATTATTATTAGCATCAAGAAAAAATTTTTGTAATAAACCCATTGGTGTTTGAGGTTCAGATGATGATGGTGTTATACCACCATTTAAATTTGAAAGAATATCAACTAAATTAGGTCTTGATGATGAACTACCAACTGCAGCATTATGTAAAACATTAAATGGATTGGCAGCAGCAGCAGCTAAAAATTCTTGTTGTTGTTGTAAAATAAGTGCAGTTTCATAATCCATCATTTCATCATCGAATTGAAATTCTTAAAAAAAAAAATTTATCTCCATTAGAAAATATTTACAGATAACGACTCGAATGATGTTTGACTTTATATTTTGACTATAAATAAATCTCTATGGAACTTAGAAAAATCTGAAAATATTCAGATTTATGATCTTTCTTTTCCTTTAAGATCACAAGAATGAAGATTTCTGAGAATGTTCTCTCGTCAGTCTAATAAAAATGAACATTAGACTTTGACAATTTTTAGGTCTTAACTCATTAAAAATTTCACAAAGGAAAAATAATTTTATCGTATTGAAATAAAAATATCCTTTGAGAAGTATCATTAATGTAAATTTTTCTTACTACTATAGCAACTTAGTCGTAGACAAAATAATAAAAAAAAAAGAAAACAATGAGTCCTACTCTTACCATTAACTTCGTCTTGACTGACACCTAATTTTTTATGTGCTTCAGCTGTTAATGCACGTAAGATAGGATTTGATCTTTTTAAAAAACTAAACTGTAATTGCATAGCTACATGTCGTTTCCATGCTTCTTCTTGATCAATAACTGTTGATTCATTATCATTTATTATTTGTTGTATTGGTTGTGTATTCTGATTTTTTTTCTTATGTTTATTTCTTTTAGCTTTTCTTCGTTTTCTATTAAATTTTGCTGATATAGCTTGATTTCTTTCTAGATTAATTATTGGTTGAACATTGTCATCATCATCATCATCATCATCATCGTCGACGACTTGAGTCGTTGTGATAGATTCATTGATTTGAGATGATGAAGAACCTGGTGCATTAATTAAATTAGCAACACGAGTTTTAATTGCATCGAGAGTAGCTGATGATGAAGAACTTGATGGAATTGGTAATGGTGGTGGTTGCATTTGATTAAAACCATCAGGTACAGCACGTGGTTCACTAACAGATAGTGAAACAGGAACTTGAGGTTCAGATGTAGGTTCTTCGTCTTCATCAGAATCTGATGATTCAAAAAGAATCTTTTTTCCTGTAACTTTATGTAAATCTATTGGTGGTAATTGTATTTCTTCTTGTTGTTTAACTTCTGGTGATGGTGGAAGTGGTATTGATGATGAAAAATTTTCTGTATTCATTGTTAAAAATTGATTATTAGAATATTCTCGATTAGCTGATCGCATAAAACGTTGAAGTTTACGAAATTCCTTTAATAAAAATAAAAAGCATTTTTATTGTTATGTGTTTTTTTTTTTGTGTTTTTTAGTTTAACATACTTGTAAAAGCATATGAAATTGTTTTTTATTTTGTTCTTTTTCACGTTGTGTTTTTGTTTTACTTCTTTTTAATTTTTCAATTTTAATTCTTAAATTAATATATTCATTTTGTTTTTTTAAACGTTCATAATTAATTAAATTTGATTGTGGATCATATAATGGATTATTTTTACTTGCTTCTAATTCACGTAATTGATTTTTTAATTGTCGATTTATTACTTCAAGATCACGTTTATCATTAACAATAGGATATGGAATAATTTGATTATAAAATGTTTCTTTTGAACTTGTATTATCTTCTTGTTCTTCAATATTTTCATCGAATATTTTTGGTTCATTTAAAGATAGATTTGATAATGGAATTTGATTAGATGATGGTGGTGGAGATGATGATGATGATGATGATAATGAACGATCATCAGTTAGATCACGATAAGATGTTGTTGGTCGAGATGAAAGTAAATCACGAGTTTTTGAATTATCAATATCATCTAATGCATCTAAATCCTGATAAGGTTTTTCAGTTGATCGTCTAAAATAAATAAAATTGATGATAATTACAAAAAAAAAAAGATAAAAAATTTATAATTTTTTATTCATTACATTGATTCTGTTGATGTAGATCTTGAACGACTAGATGAACTATATGATGGTGATGATATTCTTAAACGTGGTGGTGGAATAATTCTTGTTTCTGGTTGAATAATTTCTTCAGATTTTTTATTTATTGTTTTTCGAATAATTTCACGTTCTGGTGTTGGACTATGACTAAGTCTTGCTTTAAGATTTGTTAAACGTGTTTGTACAGCAATCCATTTTTCACGTAAATTTTTTATTTCAGTTAATAAACGTTTTTTTTTATCAATATCAGCTTGTGGTTGTGCTTTTAATTCGTCACGTAATTCTAATAAACGTTTACCGAGATTTTTACGTTTAGTTTCAAGAAATAAATGTGCTTGTTTTGGAGTTAATGTTGTGAAATTATCATCAGATTCTTCATCAATTTGTTCATCATCATTATCATCATCATCATCATCATCATCAGTCGATGTACTTGATGAACTTGTTGTTGAATCATCTTCATCACTTGAACTTGATAAATTTTCATCATCTTTATTGTCAGCCATTTCTTAACAAAAATGAATATGAGATTTTATTTGGAAGCTGACATCTGAATAGATTTTTATTTGATATGAATTACAACCAATCAAAGAAATATAGAGGTCGGAAGAATATGCTTTGATTTTTTTATGAATGTAACCAATCAATATTGTCTATTTGTTATATTTCTTCAGTGATTGAAACATTCATTGTGAAAGATTTGTTATTATTACAAAAAAAAAACAAAATGTCAGCAACTTCGGAACATCCAGCTAAACGTCAGCGGACAGTAAAAACTGGTCATGATTTAGATCAAATTGAATTTGAAACAAGTGAAGATATTGAAGTATGTCCAACATTTGATGCCATGAATTTTAATGAAAATCTTATTCGTGGTATTTATTCATATGGTTTTGAAAAACCATCAGCTATTCAACAACGTAGTATTCGTCCAATTGTTAAAGGACGTGATGTTATTGCACAAGCACAATCTGGTACTGGTAAAACGGCTATGTTTTCAATTTCAATGTTACAAAAATTAGATACAAATATACGTGAAACACAATCATTAGTTTTATCACCAACAAGAGAATTAGCACAACAAATACAAAAAGTTGTTTTAGCTTTAGGAGATTTTATGAATGTACAATGTCATGCTTGTATTGGTGGAACAAATACAGGAGAAGATATGAGAAAACTTGATCATGGACAACATATTGTTAGTGGAACACCAGGAAGAGTTATTGATATGATTAATCGAGGATCTTTACGTTAGTATTTGATTTTATATATGCGTTTGAAATATTGAAAAATTTTAGTATTTAGAAAATTATTGCTGAGATATTAGTTTCTTTTAGAATAATTATATCTATCTTATATATGTCAATCAGAAACAGAGATGGGCATGTCTGAGTCGTGACTTCAACTCGAAAATCGGGTAGTCTTGACTCGACTGTTTGATTCGGGTCATTCCGAACAGAGTTGGAGCTGGACCGGATTTTTACCTGTTCATCCTTACACAATTGTTGTTCGTATCCGAGAATTTTCTCTACTAAAAACGATGTTGTCATGATATTTTCAAGTCGGAAGAATATATGTTTACGAAAGACTTAATAGATATCTTGTCTTTGACTTGAGTATAACCGATTGATTGTTCTCTTCATATCTCTATCGACTTCTTTCTCGTGTGTCGCTCAGTACAACTTGTATCAAATAATTTATTTTTTTTGTTCTACTTAGGCAGCTGTCTGAATCAAGAAAAATAAATATTTACATTTTTGTGCTAGATTTATTATGAATTTGCTTTTTCTTTCTTTTTTGCAATTAAGATGAAAAAAAAAACAGATTTGATTTGAATAACTAATTTATATCAATATCTGGCTCGAAAAGTCGACGAATCGTGCTATGAAATATGATGGTGAGAGTTTCATTCTCAAGATTTAGTTTCGAGTTCAGATTTCTACAGGTGAACATTCAATTTCTCTTCGCCACTATTTTATGTGAACAGGTACTTTTATGGTCGGTTATTTTCGTCGAATTTTTACCAGTTTGGCTGTAAAATTCATGCGATCAGTTACTGGCCGGATCGAATCAGACAGAAAAAAGCTGTCCGGTTTCAACTCTAATCCTGAGTCATTTATTCAAAAAAGTTTTCATTTGCTCTTTTAAAAAAATTTTTTCAAGAGCTTTTATCGGTCTATGTATTCATGTGATCGTAAATGATAGCCTACACGTATTGTCGAATATATGCGTTTTTTGTTACATTTTGGTTTCGACTCATCGCTGAAGGGTGTATACGTGTATGTAATAAAATACACAAAAACTTCGCATTGTATCATACGTCATATTCTTCATTACACGACAAAATAATTGTTGTTTCATAGCATTTTAATCAACAAAATTTTCCATCATTCATTTTACATTATCTGTTTTCCAGCAAATGGTGTGAGTGTGCGATTTTCATCTCATCCACATCCATCCTCTTATTTAAAAAAAAATTAATATTAATCTCTAAATAAGCTTGCTAAAACAAATATTTGTGTTCCTGGCATATCAGCACCAGATAAACGTGTGTTTTCTCAAAGTGGTCTTTCAATGAGATTGAGTTCTTCACATTTTACAAAAGCTAATATTTCTACTCCAGCATATTTTAAGCCGAATAAGGTATTTAATTTAAATAGTAATAAATAATTTTTGCTTGTAAACAAATTTAAAGTTAAGTTTTTGCTTACAAAAACATATATATTTTTTTACTATGATGTGACGCTGTCTAAAATAGGAGAGTTGATCTCACTGTTCTTATTTTGTTGCTTAGTCTAGATTAGTTGTGTGATTTCTTTTTATGTGTAAAGTATTTTCATTGTTGCGCGTAAAAACTAGAAACTACATGTCGTGTATTGAAAAATTTGTTGTTGACATTCTTTATAAACATAAGCAAATATAACTTGACTCGCTCATCCCTGTTAGAAATTCTCTTGTAAATAATTTCATCTTATAACCTACATGTACAAAGTCTTTGCATATCATATCTGATCAATTTTTATCTACTTATAGTTTACTGAAGAGAATGGAAAGTAATCACCTAGAATCAGAATTTCATACTTTGTCTAACTTTATATTAAGAATTTTTTTTTCGCGTAATATTAGCTCAATGAGAACAAAAGTTTGATGACAGTTAAAACTGACGTTTGTATAAAACATTAATTTAAATAGTATCGATAAATATGATTGCTCATTTTTGGAGATCTATTGGAGAAGTTCAAATACAGTCAGTCAGAACCACAATTCGGTACTCTTTCCACATGGATGTTCAGAATTTTTCCACTAACTTACAATTGTTTAGTTGTGAGAAATTATTGAAATAAATCAAAAATATTGTTTGCACTAAGCAAAAGAGGCTTTGTTCTATTATTCATAACTTCTCTGAATGAGATTTTAGAATAGTTTTGACTTTCTAATGTCGTACAAAATCTAATTTTCTAATAAATCATATATTACAGTAAGTTAAAACTCAAAATGAAGCAAACTCTATATACATTTTTCGAATAGTTACTCTATGTGAAACGACATTTTTTTAAAAAAGTCACTTCTTTTGAATTTCGATATTTAGAATATAATAGATTTCGATAATTAATAGCAATATTTAAAAGGAGAAACGAATTGAATATTTTGTAGAGCAAGTTTCATTCTACAATCTAGTGTATAAAAATACTGTCTTATAGTTTGGATTGAGATAGTTTTTATCATAATACAAAACTGATCTACACGAAAAATTTTGTATAGGCACCATTTTTATTCCTGTCAAAGGTTTGTTCTCGATGAATCATAAGCCTGAAAAAATTGTTAATGTTCAGTTAGAAAGAGCATGAAATTCTGATTCTAGCTAATTACTTTTGATTCTCTTCAGTAACTTATAAGTAGATGAAAATTGATAAGACATGTTATGCAGAAACATTTCATACAATTGTTAGTTAGTTTGAAAAACATTACACGAAAAATTCTAGTGTTTTATACTATTTTTTTCAGACTCACATTGATCCTTCCAACAAGAAAAAGTCCATATGAGGCATTATACCGATGAACTGCTAGTGTTATATGCATACTCATAAAGAACTAATGACCTATTGTGAAAAAATGTGAAGTTCGAAAAAGTGTTCATGTAGAATTTCATTTCAATTTTGCTGTACATTCATCCTTGAAAAACTGAAACGTTCTATTGAATTGTTCGCTGAAAATTTCTGAAATGTTTATATTCAGATACAATTACACTGATCTTTGTTTTTTATGAGCACATCTGAACTTTATCTTGAAAGTTCATACATTAGTAATTTAATCAGTGAGAATATTATATAGTAACATAATCCTGATATTCCAGTTGATACTTCGTATTTTTTTTTCTTTCCATCATATAAAATAGGTAGATTTTGAAGAAGATAAGTATCAATTCGTTCTATTTGAATCAAATTCTTAATACATTGTAGATAAAGTTACGAACATGTTAATATAATGAAAAATATAGATAAACAACCTAGAATTAAAACAGTGATAGATTGTGAGAAGAATTGAATTCTCTTATTTACTATTATATATCGATTGAAATACGATATGCTTAACTTTTATAATGAATATAATTAGTTGATATTTTTTAGGAACACGTCATATAAAAATGTTAATATTAGATGAAGCTGATGAAATGCTTAATCTCGGTTTTAAAGAACAAATTTATGAAGTTTATCGACATTTACCACCTCAAACACAGGTAATTCTTGTTTCAGCAACATTACCACATGAAATTCTTGAAATAACATCAAAATTTATGACTGATCCAATACGTATATTAGTTAAACGTGATGAATTAACACTTGAAGGTATAAAACAATTTTTTGTTGCTGTTGAACGTGAAGAATGGAAATTTGATACATTATGTGATTTATATGATACATTAACAATAACACAAGCTGTAATTTTTTGTAATACTAAACGTAAAGTTAATTGGTTAACAGAAAAAATGCGTGAAGCTAATTTTACTGTATCATCAATGCATGGTGATATGAAACAAGAAGAACGCGATGCTATTATGAAAGAATTTCGTGCTGGAGATACACGTGTACTTATTACAACTGATGTTTGGGCTCGAGGTAAAAATATTCAAAAATTAGATTTTCAAAAATAATTTAATTAAGTTTTTTTTTTTATTTTTATTTAATAGGTATTGATGTTCAACAAGTTAGTCTTGTTATTAATTATGATCTACCTAATTCACGTGAATTATATATTCATCGCATTGGTCGTTCAGGTCGATTTGGGCGTAAAGGTGTTGCTATTAGTAAGTGATTTTTTTTTATTATTTATTTAGACTTTGAGAAGAAAAAAAATAGTTGCTAACTGTGTTTTTTTTCAGATTTTGTTATAAATGATGATATTCGTATTTTGCGTGATATTGAACAATATTATGCAACACAAATTGATGAAATGCCAATGAATGTAGCTGATCTCATTTAAAATGAGAATAAATAAACAAAACAAT